TATAAACAACAACTCTTGAGACCGCGTACGTCCGTTTAGTCGTGCATCGAAGTCGTCGTTTGATCACGTTTGATGCGCTATCACCCTTAAACGGGCAGTTAGATGTCCACCGACACGTTGGCACGGGTATTTCTGCCGGTCTTCCTTGTCTGGACCGGCGATACTCATCTATGCATTTCTCCGGATATCCTATTCCAAGAAAGAAGTCCTTCATAAGAACTGGTCTCCTCATCGACAGTATCAGAAGAACAGATTCTAGTGCCTATGTCGAGCATGCACAGAACCAAGTTTCGTTTTCTCTGAACTGGAAAGAAACTGAGGAAGCGGTTTTTCGATAGACTGATCTCTTACCGGAAGCATCTGCCCGTCTAAGTACGGAAGGCAATTTTCAAAAAATACAGGCCTTTGAATAAACCACCGCTACATTTAGTCAGGAGGGCAAGGAAATTTCAACCAATGGGGGCGGCGAATAATAAGTGATGTTTACAGTCGCACAGAATTTTAGTGTACATATTAGAGTTGCCGGCTTCGTGGAGTCCTACACCCTACCGTTACACAACTTTTAAAGCCCCATGCAAACCATGCCTCCGAAAGCACTTAAAGCCCCTTTTTTTCAGTTTCACAGCTAAAACCCCTTGTGGACGTCACTAGACCCAAATTGGACAAAATTGCGGCGGAAACGCTTCGAGATCGCCAACAACTGACGGATACGGAGCAGCAAGTCTTAGCAGTTGAGAAACGATACAATGAGTTTGAGGGGACAGCCAATCTTGCTGGTAAGTTTATAAGCCTGACAACCAGGACTTCGTTCTCTCCGTTTTGGCATTTTACAGACACGCGCTTTGGCTTGTACCGGCTGGGGGCGGTAGGTGTACTCAGTGCGCCACAATAACCACGACCCAGTCCCACTTTAGAGGAGAAGGGGAAAGGCACAAATAGGAGTAGTGTATTCTGTGGAGTTTGTGAACGCCTGTGATTGGCTATCCTCATGGCTAAATGTGCTCACTTTCTTGCGCTCGAGAGCTGTGATCACATGATTCCCAGCGCGGTGTGGGTGCCAGAGAAAGAAGATTGGATCGCCTTCGAGGCTTTACAGGCCCTAAAAGTAGACAGGTTCAAATTATGAGCAAAATAAAAGTAGTCGAGGGTAACTTCTTTGCTGTCATCAGCCGAAAGTTCCCAGCCTTTGGCTGCCTGAGCCACGAACACAGGTGTTTTCGGAGAATGTTCAAATTCGCACTGGTGTGGCTTCTACCTACCTCTCCTCATTTCGAGTTTGAGCAATTATTTGCAGTGTGACTACCGGTATTGACTAGGACTATAAACCTCCAGGCAACATAACACCAAATAGCAGGATTGTCAGTTCAAACACCTACACAAGGATAACTTGTTCTTGTCGGGTCTTTCATAGACGATGCTTATTGCTCTTCAAATATGCTGAACTATGCTTATCTATCATCTCAGTTGACCGAGCCAACGACACACAGAACCGTCTGATCTCGAGTCTGGAGGCCACGGAAAGACGGTTCAGCGAGCTGGAAGCAAAACTGGCTCTGCCTCGTCGACTGGCTGCCTATGCTCGATCCCTTCTTGATATGGCCTACGCCGGTCTTGGACGCGATCCACTTCCGCTGCGACTGGACGGTTCAGACTGCGTGTACACATTTGTGCCCTATCAGGTCACAAAGTCACGGGTCTTCGACCTGCAATTCTGGTACACCGCGACCCTCGAGCGGGTCTCTGGTCAGAAGGCTCAACAGATTCGATCCAACGCTGTGCTCATGGTGGGAAGACGTGCGTTCCCCGGTAAAACCGTAATGTTTGCTGTTACCGTTGAAGCCGACGGTACCCTCCGCTTCTCTTGGTCGCTACCGCGAGCCAGGGACGGCGCCAACTACGTCAGTCTTGGACCACTCAACGGGACGGCCACTAATAGGGTAGGTTGAGGACAGTTAACGTACGTATCTTTAACATTTTACATTTTGCTAGTTGAGCAAGAATCAGTGCGACTGAATGATCATTAGCAGCAGGGCCGCTGTAAAATGTACCGGTAAGTGTTGTGTCGAGGAGGAAGACGGAAGCCACACAGAGGTCGAGGAACCAACTGCTCTCAGGCCAGTGGCCTGCTTATCCTGAACCCTAGAAACTGATCAGTTTAAAGAGGCGCATATGTTGCCCTGGCGTAATATAACCGCATCTTTTTAAACCGGGTAGCCTGTACTTGTCTAGAATTAATCGATACATCTTGTAGACCTGAACTTGTGGTACAAATGTCAGGTATAATTCCTGAGGGGGACATATATATATATTGAATTTGTATACAGTATTCGTGACATTTCTATGCATTTTCAAGCCAAATTAATAGGCAGTTCATAAATGTGACAGGGAGTGTATTCTGTTAGGTGGTTTTTATGCACTTTAAAGTCTTAAAATCGCCAACATTTTTTGAGATCTACAGTCTGCACCTAGAATCTCAACTTGGATGGAAATGGGCCGCATAATTCTGACTTTTCAAGTGGTTCAATCCATCAGATTTCTTTTTTTTAATTAGTTCGGTGCAACGCTTGATGACCACGGCCAACAGCATGAGTGATTTTAACACATCGAACGTCCATGTTTCCCCTCTAGGTGAGGATCACTGCCGTTCCAGGCGAAGTTAACATGTACTTGCAAGAGATTCCCGAAGGCGTTTCGTCGCTGCAAGGTCTGGCAATTCAACGAGCTACCTTCGTGGATAAGAGCAGTACCGCCATCTCTGATCTCACTATCGACAACCTGCTTGAACTTCGCGTCGGTGGACCTGCTAGCCAGGACATGGGCGCCGACGAACCGCCAATGGAAGCGTGGGGGGAGAACGGTGCTGAGGAGTTGTGGGCAAAGGTGCAACACATGGGCAATTCCCTGGGTTGTCTCTTCAATCTTCGTCTCTCCGGACACATGATAGGCTTCCCAGACCTGGCAAATGCCAGTCGTTCATGTGCCCCCAAGGGCAAAGATCTATGCAAAATGTAAGTGCTACCTAAACTTTATCAGTAGGTGATTTGTTTAAATTGTACAAGTTTACGTTGGAGGATACCTTCCTTTCAGACAAACTAACTTCCGCCCACTTGTCCGTGATGGTTATGCATGGCAAAGGGAGAGTCCTCTGGAGGACGGCCTCGAGCCACATCCACGACCTGGCATAGAGGCCATACAAGATCCCATAGTTGATCGTCTAG